TATAGTAGACAATTGCTCTATAATTGGTAAAAGAAACGACACAACAATGATATATGCTTGGAAATAAGTTTCTGTTTTTGGGTAACACGGGGAACACAATTTGACATTTTATCATTGATATCTTTAACATTGATGTATTTTTGTGTGTTTTTGACATTTATACACTTAGTGAATACGTTATACCGTGATAACATCGTCTAAAGTTGTATGAAATAACTTTACAGTTCCTATCATTTATCGTAAACGTTTGGAACCCATTAGGTTTTAATTACGGAGACTGTCATAGGGCGTGACAGGTTGTTTTTTTTTTATCTATAAAACGTGACTTCTCACACGTAATAGGATTTGGTACTGGTGTGTATATGTTTACTAAATGTAAAACCATTTACGTACCATGTATATCTTGGTATGCCACGCTAATAGCACTTACGTTTAAGAATATACTAATGTATGATGTTTAAATCGAAGATGAAGAAGAAAAAATCAGCGGAAAGGAAACTGTTGGTTTTACTTAAAATAAACTGTTCATACTACCCGCCTTAGGCACCTTCTAGTTCTATCTCATTAATTTTGGTTTATATTCAATCTAGACGATTTGATCTTCAATCGGCAATGGTAATTATACCAGTCAGCGCGCACACCAGAAAATCATTCTCTTTTCTTATTGATCTTTTACTTAATATGCTTAAATAGTTTAAAACGACAGGCAGTCGGCATATTCAGTGGTAGGGTTCAAATTTAAGTTGTTTGTACAAGTTTTAAGTTGTGAATGGAATTCTATGTGAAAACGAATGTTACATTTATGTGTGCTTGTCTCTGCACTCGACCAGTCATGCCAGGATTAACCATAGTTTTGCTATTTTCAACAGGTAATGTATTTTATTATTATTTTTCTATGGTAGTCACAGAGTGGTAATACTTAGATCTTAATCATGTATATATGCTGACATGACGAAGCCAACTACAGCAGTACATCAACCCTAGTAGATAAACCATGACAAATAGATGGTGAGATTCATTACACTTGCCAATCAATCGCGTATTAACCATGACAAATAGATGGTAATATTTATTACACAAGGCAATCAATCGTGTGTTAACCATGACAAATAGATGGTGATATTCATTACACTTGCCAATCAATCGCGTGTTAACCATGACAAACAGATGGAGATATTTATTACACAAGGTAATCAATCGCGAATTAACCATGACAAACAGATGGTGATATTTATTACACAAGGTAATCAATCGTGTGTTAACCATGACAAATAGATGGTGATATTTATTACACAAGTCAATCAATCGCGTGTTAACCATGATCAATAGATTGTGATATTTATTTCACAAGGCAATCAATCGTGTGTTGACCATGACAAATAGATGGTGATATTTATTACATCAGACAATAAATAACCAGCAAATACCTAATACTTACAGACTACCATTAACTTTACAACACCATCCCGTCTACTTAATCACCAGTAAATACCTACAGACTACCATTAACTTTACAACACCATCCCGTCTACTTAATCACCAGTAAATACCTACAGACTACCATTAACTTTACAACACCATCCCGTCTACTTAATCACCAGTAAATACCTACAGACTACCATTAACTTTACAACACCATCCCGTCTACTTAATCACCAGTAAATATTCTATACCTACAGACTACCATTAACTTTACAACACCATCCCGTCTACTTAATCACCAGTAAATATTCTATACCTACAGACTACCATTAACCTTACAACACCATCCCGTCTACTTAATCACCAGTAAATACCTACAGACTACCATTAACTTTACAACACCATCCCGTCTACTTAATCACCAGTAAATACCTACAGACTACCATTAACTTTACAACACCATCCCGTCTACTTAATCACCAGTAAATATTCTATACCTACAGACTACCATTAACTTTACAACACCATCCCGTCTACTTAATCACCAGTAAATACCTACAGACTACCATTAACTTTACAACACCATCCCGTCTACTTAATCACCAGTAAATATTCTATACCTACAGACTACCATTAACCTTACAGCACCATCCCGTCTACTTAATCACCAGTAAATACCTACAGACTACCATTAACTTTACAACACCATCCCGTCTACTTAATCACCAGTAAATACCAGTAAATACCTACAGACTACCATTAACTTTACAACACCATCCCGTCTACTTAATCACCAGTAAATACCTACAGACTACCATTAACTTTACAACACCATCCCGTCTACTTAATCACCAGTAAATACATACAGATTACCATTAACTTTACAACACCATCCCGTCTACTTAATCACCAGTAAATATTCTATACCTACAGACTACCATTAACTTTACAACACCATCCCGTCTACTTAATCACCAGTAAATACCTACAGACTACCATTAACTTTACAACACCATCCCGTCTACTTAATCACCAGTAAATACCTACAGACTACCATTAACTTTACAACACCATCCCGTCTACTTAATCACCAGTAAATACCTACAGACTACCATTAACTTTACAACACCATCCCGTCTACTTAATCACCAGTAAATACCTACAGACTACCATTAACCTTACAATACCATCCCGTCTACTTAATCACCAGTAAATACCTACAGACTACCATTAACTTTACAACACCATCCCGTCTACCTAATCACCAGTAAATATTCTATACCTACAGACTACCATTAACTTTACAACACCATCCCGTCTACTTAATCACCAGTAAATACCTACAGACTACCATTAACTTTACAACACCATCCCGTCTACTTAATCACCAGTAAATACCTACAGACTACCATTAACTTTACAACACCATCCCGTCTACTTAATCACCAGTAAATATTTTATACCTACAGACTACCATTAACTTTACAACACCATCCCGTCTACTTAATCACCAGTAAATACATACAGATTACCATTAACTTTACAACACCATCCTTAATCACCAGTAAAATCTATACCTACAGACTACCATTAACTTTACAACACCATCCCGTCTACTTAATCACCAGTAAATACCTACAGACTACCATTAACTTTACAACACCATCCCGTCTACTTAATCACCAGTAAATACCTACAGACTACCATTAACTTTACAACACCATCCCGTCTACTTAATCACCAGTAAATACCTACAGACTACCATTAACTTTACAACACCATCCCGTCTACTTAATCACCAGTAAATACCTACAGACTACCATTAACTTTACAACACCATCCCGTCTACTTAATCACCAGTAAATATTCTATACCTACAGACTACCATTAACTTTACTTACTACACCATCCCGACTACCATTAACTTTACAACACCATCTACTTAATCACCAGTAAATACTATACCTACATACTACCATTAACTTTACAACACCATCCCGTCTACTTAATCACCAGTAAATACCTACAGACTACCATTAACTTTACAACACCATCCCGTCTACTTAATCACCAGTAAATACCTACAGACTACCATTAACTTTACAACACCATCCCGTCTACTTAATCACCAGTAAATACCTACAGATTACCATTAATTAACTCTGACTACCATTAACTTTACAACACCATCCCGTCTACTTAATCACCAGTAAATACCTACAGATTACCATTAACTTTACAACACCATCCCGTCTACTTAATCACCAGTAAATACCTACAGACTACCATTAATACCTACAGACTACCATTAACTTTACAACACCATCCCGTCTACTTAATCACCAGTAAAGAAATACCTACACTACCATTAACTTTTCACATCCCGTCTACTTAATCACCAGTAAATACCTACAGATTACCATTAACTTTACCATTAACTTTACAATCACCATACCCAGTACCATTAACTTTACCATCCCGTCTACTTAATCACCAGTAAATATACCTACAGACTACCATTAACTTTACAACACCATCCCGTCTACTTAATCACCAGTACAACTACCATTAACTTTACAACACCATCCCGTCTACTTAATCACCAGTAAATTACAGATTACCATTAACTTTACTACACCAACTTAATACCAGTAAATACCTACAACTTTACATTAACTTTATAACACCATCCCGTCTACTTAATCACCAGTAAATACCTACAGACTACCATTAACTTTACAACACCATCCCGTCTACTTAATCACCAGTAAATACCTACAGACTACCATTAACTTTACAACACCATCCCGTCTACTTAATCACCAGTAAATATTCTATACCTACAGACTACCATTAACTTTACAACACCATCCCGTCTACTTAATCACCAGTAAATACCTACAGACTACCATTAACTTTACAACACCATCCCGTCTACTTAATCACCAGTAAATACCTACAGACTACCATTAACTTTACAACACCATCCCGTCTACTTAATCACCAGTAAATATTCTATACCTACAGACTACCATTAACCTTACTACACCATCACGTCTACTTAATCACCAGTAAATACTTACAGACTACCATTAACTTTACAACACCATCACGTCTACTTAATCACCAGTAAATATCCTATACCTACAGACCGGAACAGTGACCTAACAACATCATGTCATCTTGTTATTCCCAACTGAAATAAATATTCTTCACGGAGTGTATACAGTAACTTTAAGAAACGTTACTCCACATACTTGTTCACTAGTGTAAAGTATATACCCTACACCCATGGAAAGTAGCTATTCCACAACATCACACCACCAATTGTCATGAAACACCATAAAAGGCATTATCCCATGTCATGATTCTTCACTAATTACCATACACCACAGGAGAAACTGCAGCCCTATCGCCTGATTAATCTTTAAACATTTACCGGACATAATTATCCCATATCCTCGTTTATTACTTAATACTCTTCAGAGAAAATTATGATTGATAAATATGTCTGTCCGTCCGTCCGTCCAGCCGTCCGTCTTTCCGTCCGTCTATCTTGTCTGTCTGTGTTTAATGATATGCCTCATCTAATACTAACAGCATTTCTAGCGTGTACCTGTCAGCAGTACACGTTTCAGAAGGAGAATGACCTGCGGACACTTCTGTTTGAGAACCAGTCCTACAACATGTTTGCTCGTCCACGTGTAAAAGTAGAAATCACCGTCTCATTGAACATCATCAATTTTAACGACTTGGTGAGTACTACTTCATTTCTTTCGGGTGATGGTTTACATTTACAGATATCTTGCTGAATTAGTGTAGATTTTTGTCGTTTATACCTATTCATCTAATTATTAAATGCCATTGAAACGCTTGGCGAAGCTTTCCAATGACGCCATGCTTCATCTCGATTTGTGATCGACTTCATATTCGAAGCCTTGGAAATAATATGTTTAGGACGTGTTTTTCATATTTGTACAATAAGGAATTCAAGAAATATTACACGATGCATAATAATACAATGTATTATTGCTTTTAAGAAAAATTGAATCAGGTATTTTAGACTCTTTAGACAAAGTAGGTAAGAATATTCAGAGCTAATAGTGTTAACATGGGTGAGTCTTAACATAAAAATCCAGGAGAGTACACATTCATAAACAATAATCACATAATTCGTATATAAGGGACACAAATCGTCGAGATAAAGAAACGTTTTAATTTGATTTCAGAATATAAGGGACCAACAGTTGACAACAACAGGTTACTTTATATTGGTGAGTAATGGCAGGGATGTCGAAGGACGGTTATGTCGAAGAACGGGTATGTCGAAGGACGGTTATCTCGACTTTTACTAAGTAGATCTCAAGTTGCAAAGTTATAGCTCTAAACCACTGGTTCATGTGCTGAAATTTTAAATATGTCTACATTCTTCTGTACCGATTGAAATCAGCACAACACCAAAGAAAGTAAAACGCATTTCGTTTCTAGATATCACAAAGATCATCTAATCTCTCTCTGGGTAGCTATTACCCGAGATTCCTCGTGTCTGATGATTAATCCGCAGTCAGAGTGAGACTTCCGAGCGATAAACATGTCTTTCCCATGAAGTTGTCTGTCTATCTGTCTGTCTGTCTGTCTGTCTGTCTGTAAAAACATTTACACCATTCGACTTAAGAACAGTAATGGAATGACGTAGGACAATCAGGAATATCCTGGATAACAAATTCATGAAGTGATAGTATTAAACAGATGTTTAAATGTATATTACCGCTACTTCAGCATTGTGGTTCGGACGCATTTGTCTGTCAGGACATTTGCCACATTTTGATATCCTAAAGTTTTTGCCCTTGGTTTCACTCAGTAAGTATAGTGAGAAGTTTGACAGCCGGTGGGTGCCACCATTGGTTGCGGAGTAAACCCACTGTAACATAGTCTCTACTTCATCGTGTTTTACCATCTATTCCGTCTCTGCCAGGTCGATATCGCATATGTTCGCGCATGTCCTAGGACATCTTGGAGTGTTTTTGTATTGCTTAACCGTTCTTACTTCTGAAATCGAACTATAAGGAAACCAAGGATTCGTCAAACGGACATAAAAATGCAGTTCTTAGACATTGTTAAGTTTTAAATAAGTGTGTAAATTGACAATGACGTGCCAAACTAACACTTCATATGATCGCAAAGAATTTTGTTTCAATAATTTTCACATACCATAAACCACATTTGCCATTGTACTGACCATTATCACGTTGTTGTGTTTACAGAAATGGAAGGATGATCGGCTTTTCTGGGACAAAAATCCACTCTACAGAAAAGATGTTACGGTTCTATTTACAACGGAGGAACATGTTTGGCGCCCAGCACTGGTTATAGAGAACTCGTAAGTGTTTCTATTAAAACTTTACCTATTGTAAATTTTATCATCGATCAGGTTTTAAACGAAGAAACAGTAACTGAGCGACAACCTCAAAAAAAAAAAGGGTTTCCAGATCTGCCGGACAATGACGGTTTCAAATCATGCTATTCTCATCCATAAAACTTTTATAAGTTTGAAATTTAACTTGCTTAATGCATGGCGGGCGAAGTTGATGAAGTAGAAGACGCTTACACTTCTGGAGTACATGATTTTTTTCTTCTGGTTCTTGTCTTGGATTATATGTGTAAATTCTTCCTTTGCCGTACTTTCATCGAACCTGTGTTTTAGTTTAAGGTACCGTTAATATGTTTTTTCTTGTTTTTGTTTACTTTTCATTACCTATCCAAATTATTTGTTTGTTTTTTTTTTAATCTAAATTAAAACCCGACATTCTTGCATACTTATCTAAATCTAGAATTGATGAAAATGTCGTCTACACATGGTAACAATAGAAACTGCCTATAACTTTTTTTTAACTTTTGATATTCATATCATTTCTTAACAATGGACAGAATTTCTGCGCAAGGCATAAATATATACTGAGATATAGTATCACCTTGTATACACACGTGGCGGATGTTGCAATGATTTGACGAGTTACAACCTTGGTCATCTGTTGATTTTGAATCATTATGCCAGAAAGTAAGTATATGACGAAATAAGCAACAAACATACGTCATCATGATCCACATACGTAAGCAGAACGTTTATTAATTCATGAGGTATTGAAATTTAATGTGTTGGTGTCTTTACAGAGTTAGTGACATATCAGCGATGAGCGACATTGGCAGTCCAATACTTCTAACCACTAAGGGAACATTAACCTGGAGACTTTCAGGAATCTTCACAACATACTGTGAAGTAGACATATCGTTGTATCCGTTTGACACACAGATATGTTCAATACGTGTGACGTCATTAGGGTACAGCGCCAATGAAATAGAGCTTTTCTTTAGCGACACACCTGTTGATACGCGAGATCTGAATGAAAACGGGGAATGGATTTACACTGGGTTTTCAACATCTAAAGGCTTGGTTAGAAGGGAACTTCTCACCCACTCGGAACTGACATTTGATTTTCAATTGAAGCGGAGACCATTGTACCATATAATGAACACTTTGGTTCCAACAATATCGTTGGCATTTCTCACCTGTATGGTATTCAAACTTCCCGCCGAATCGGGTGAAAGGATCGGATATTCCTTGACAGTAGTGCTGTCGTATGCGGTCTACCTTACGTTAGTGGCAGACAATATTCCTTCCTCCTCCACAACAGTCTCTGTTTTGTGTAAGTTGTGATTTTTTATCGGCTCTCAGCTGTAGTCATCAACTCATAACACATTAAACTGACAGCCCTAAATGTTTGTACTATACCAACAGACTTTAGAAATACACAGGTTGATATTCAAAAGTTATTACGCTGCCTCAATGGCAGGAACACTTTCTGTTTAAAGACTGTTCTAGGTCTACCGTGTGTCACCACATAGGTTTCCCTTTGGTAATGTAATTGAGTGATGGTTCAACAAGTTCAAATTGGCAAAATATCAGAAACATACTTAACTGTTACTTATGTAACAGAATCTCTATACTATTATAAACCTCGATTTTTACTGTTGCATTATCGACGCGTCATTGCGTGGTAGAAGTGGCACACTGGTCAAATTCATAACAAAAAAGACCGTTCATTATTGGTCTTCTTTTAAGTACGCTGACTGCAGGACACTATTTCGGCCTTATTTTGTCACAGGTCTCCTGTGCGACAAAAAAATGACAGAGAAGAGAATATTGGAACTGGTCAAATATCAGTATTTATAAATATCGGCAACTGATAAATTCGCAATTCCAGTTTCCGAGAATTCCAACTTGGTGAAAATCCAGAGGAATTTTTACGGTCGCCATAATGATCTAATTGGGATTTTTTCATTTCGTTATGTGATATGAAAGTGGATGTGTTTTATACTCGTTAGTCTACAAATTGAATCCATTTTCATATACCTTGCTCTCATTTAGGTACGCGACATTACTTACTTGGATTGACCAAGACTTTCCTGACAGGTGTCGTCGACGAAACAGAAAACGCTTACTCGTCAGAACATCTGGTCTTAATATCATTGTACTTTTTTTAGAAGTTTAAATCGTTCTTTTGTCCCTTTTGTCCTAGTTTTATTGAAATTGAGTTTGAATCATGGCAGTGATGGCATGCTGGTACACTGTCTTCCTCATTAGTTTGTACACAGTCAGCACAGTACAGTGGATGAAATAAAGATACCAATGATATGACGAAAAGAAAAGAAATGAAAACACAAGACTATAAAAAATCAATGATTACTTGTCATCGACACAAACCTTGCACAATCGTTTCTAAAGGGTTTACAGACATTACAGAAATTAGCAAGATTGTAGCTATACATGATTAACAAAGTTTGACATTGTCTCAAAACGTGATGCGAGTATTTGTAAACAAGTGTGATGGTTTTGTTATTTTATTCAAAGAAAACCTTACCCTATAGCCCTCAACCTAAACATAACGAAGAAGAACACATACTAGCATACCTTAAATGACAAACGATGCAACAGAAAACTGAGAATCTTTATTTTGTATGTAGCTAACCCACCAATTTGTCGTGCATATGATCATATACGCCCGTACTTTTCCCAGTTCAGCTGTATCAGAAAAATACAATTAAAAACACACCCAAGGACTGCCAGTATGACCTGATCAGAGTTATCGACTCCTAAGACGACTTTCCAACAAATGCTATTTTCAATATATCTGGCTTTGAATTTATTTTCGTTTTTTGTCTCTGTTAAGAAGTACCAGAAACACATTTAATGATATTATTGATATGTGGAACGTGTAAACATGTATATACAGGCCTGGTATTTCTGTATAGTGTGTGAAGCTTTTAAAAAACAAATGTACAAAGTTAAGATTGATAACAGTTCTTTAGAAGTAGCTAAAAGAGATTTTTTTTAAATCTATGTTTTCGTAGTGTTGGTCGCTTAAGCGGTAGCTATATCCATTTATTACACAATGTAGATAATACACACGATTATCTTCCACCAACGGCTATTCGAATACAGGTTCCAGACTCTGGACATGCATATTTTGCTTTGATGGTAGAATATATAGCATTGACATGATTGAGACATTGCAAGATGATAATTTATTGAAATAACAATAGAAACGATAAGTTAAATTCATTTTAATCTCTAGAATAGAAGTTCGTATAACACAACCAGTTGTTGTTATAAGATCTTCTATTCTTTTGTCCTTACCAACCTGAAGAAAAATATTCCATAACATCATCACTCTATTAGATACTCGGTGTCTGAAATATCTTAAAATTGATGAAGGTCTTGCTTTAAACAATGATAGATACTATAACCACCCTGCCCTTTTTTTGTTTTTTATTTTTTGTTTTTTTTGTTTTTTTTTTTTTTTTTTTTTTTTTTTGCTGACTTGTTATATTGTTATATTCATTTCGTTGTTTTATTACAGCTATCTATCTTGTTACAACTCTAATACTTGGAATGCTGTCTGTACTACTGACGATCCTTGTTCTTGACTGCCATCACGCTGATCATAGCAGGCCAGTTCCGAAACTACTCAGACAATTTTGTAGGATGGACATAATGATAACAATATGTGCAAAGCTTAAACCCCGAAAGAAGGTTGCAGATAGCGCGGACGACACCTCTAAATCTCACTCGGACATTCCTTCAAGTGTGGACATTTCGCTTCAAGATGTGACATGGCAGGATTTAGCACGAAAACTAGATCGGATGTTCCTTTGGTGGTACATAGCTATTGTAACTATGGGAACCATGTCCTTAGTCATCGCTTTAAATACAGGTTATCAGAACTAGGCTAATATAATTACCTGTAGTGTGTAAGGTTATATTTATCATCTAGGGGGTCACGATGATTATCTGTAGTGTGTAAGGTTATATTTATCATCTAGGGAGTCACGATGATTATCTGTAGTGTGTAAGGTTATATTTATCATCTAGGGAGTCACGATAATTATCTGTAGTGTTTAAGGTTATATCTATCATCTAGGGAGTCACGATAATTATCTGTAGTGTTTAAGGTTATATTTATCATCTAGGGAGTCACGATAATTATCTGTAGTGTTTAAGGTTATATTTATCATCTAGGGAGCCACGATAATTATCTGTAATGTGTAAGGTTATATTTATCATCTAGGGGGTCACGATGATTATCTGTAGTGTGTAAGGTTATATTTATCATCTAGGGGGTCACGATAATTATCTGTAGTGTTTAAGGTTATATTTATCATCTAGGGGGTCACGATGATTATCTGTAGTGTGTAAGGTTATATTTATCATCTAGGGAGTCACGATAATTATCTGTAGTGTTTAAGGTTATATCTATCATCTAGGGGGTCACGATAATTATCTGTAGTGTTTAAGGTTATATTTATCATCTAGGGAGTCACGATAATTATCTGTAGTGTTTAAGGTTATATCTATCATCTAGGGGGTCACGATAATTATCTGTAGTGTTTAAGGTTATATTTATCATCTAGGGGGTCACGATAATTATCTGTAGTGTTTAAGGTTATATTTATCATCTAGGGGGTCACGATAATTATCTGTAATGTGTAAGGTTATATTTATCGTCTAGGGAGTCACGATAATTATCTGTAGTGTTTAAGGTTATATCTATCATCTAGGGGGTCACGATAATTATCTGTAGTGTTTAAGGTTATATTTATCATCTAGGGGGTCACGATGATTATCTGTAGTGTGTAAGGTTATATTTATCATCTAGGGGGTCACGATAATTATCTGTAGTGTTTAAGGTTATATTTATCGTCTAGGGGGTCACGATAATTATCTGTAGTGTTTAAGGTTATATTTATCATCTAGGGGGTCACGATAATTATCTGTAATGTGTAAGGTTATATTTATCGTCTAGGGAGTCACGATAATCATACCATACAATCTTTAGCAGCCTGTATGGAAATAAAGAAATGATATTTATCTTATGTGGTGTAAACAAGGATTTTAATCGGACTTGGCATGAAACTATAGGTTTAAGAATAACCTCTCTGGTAGAATGAAAGGAATGTAGTAACGAGGTTTAAGAATAACCTCTCTGGTAGAATGAAAGGAATGTTGTAACGAGGTTTAAGAATAAACCCTCTGGTAGAATGAAAGGAATGTTGTAACGAGGTTTAAGAATAACCTCTCTGGTAGAATGAAAGGAATGTTATAACGAGGTTTAAGAATAACCTCTCTGGTAGAATGAAAGGAATGTTGTAACGAGGTTTAAGAATAACCTCTCTGGTAGAATGAATGGAATGTTATAACGAGGTTTAAGAATAACCTCTCTGGTAGAATGAAAGGAATGTTGTAACGAGGTTTAAGAATAACCTCTCTGGTAGAATGAAAGGAATGTTGTAACGAGGTTTAAGAATAACCTCTCTGGTAGAATGAAAGGAATGTTGTAACGAGGTTTAAGAATAAACCCTCTGGTAGAATGAAAGGAATGTTGTAACGAGGTTTAAGAATAACCTCTCTGGTAGAATGAAAGGAATTTTGTAACGAGGTTTAAGAATAACCTCTCTGGTAGAATGAAAGGAATGTTGTAACGAGGTTTAAGAATAACCTCTCTGGTAGAATGAAAGGAATTTTGTAACGAGGTTTAAGAATAACCTCTCTGGTAGAATGAAAGGAATGATGTAACGAGGTTTAAGAATAACCTCTCTGGTAGAATGAAAGGAATTTTGTAACGAGGTTTAAGAATAACCTCTCTGGTAGAATGAAAGGAATGTTGTAACGAGGTTTAAGAATAACCTCTCTGGTAGAATGAAAGGAATGTTGTAACGAGGTTTAAGAATAACCTCTCTGGTAGAATGAAAGGAATGTTGTAACGAGGTTTAAGAATAACCTCTCTGGTAGAATGAAAGGAATGTTGTAACGAGGTTTAAGAATAACCTCTCTGGTAGAATGAAAGGAATGTAGTAACGAGGTTTAAGAATAACCTCTCTGGTAGAATGAAAGGAATGTTGTAACGAGGTTTAAGAATAAACCCTCTGGTAGAATGAAAGGAATGTTGTAACGAGGTTTAAGAATAACCTCTCTGGTAGAATGAAAGGAATGTTGTAACGAGGTTTAAGAATAACCTCTCTGGTAGAATGCAGAAAGTAATAAATGAAGATTTGCTTTCACATTTGAACCTGTGCGATGTTTCTTAGGACTCAGTCCTTTTTTGTTTTTACTGTACATATACATCACAAGTTTTGTCTATAGTAGTGTATGAATATTTGCATATGATACGTCCCTATTCAGTATTGTAAAATCCTATCATATCTGCTCAGAGTGTAAGTAATGAACTAAGGGCAAAGCGGTGGGATATACAGTTTAACCTATCAAATCTAGATTCGTTATCCTTTCTTGGAAAAAGAGGTAAATCATTGAGATATAATTTTGCTAATGAACACGCCACAGTCACTTCGTCTCATATTCATCTTGGCCTTCTTTTAGCAATGTTCGCAAATAACCCAAATACATTGATTATATTTACGAAAAAACCAAATCAAAGAATGCACAGTTTGAGACAATTAACAATAAGATCGACAGAAATAATTTTACAATAATTAATATATACTTAATTTGTAAGACCTTTGTTAGAACATGCTGATGTTATGTTGAACAACTAACCGGATTATCAAAAAAAAAGTCGTTAAAAATTTATTAATATTGAGACAGCAAGGGCGATAACTGGATTGCAGAAATACATCAAAAGTGAAACTTGATGCAGAAATGAGGAAATATTTATTTTATATTAATCAACCATAATTGAAGTTCTCTTATGGATCTAGACACCTACTCAATAACAACAGAATTTTCTATCTTTCTATTTACGGAACAGTAAGCTACACAGGACTTTTTTCAGATTAGCAATAATCTCTAAGATATCTCCGCTGTTAGACAATTACTGAATTTTCTAAATAAAAAACATTAAACGACAAATATTGTATTCCTACTACACGGTCGCCGATCATACAACATATACTTTTTCAATTAAGAAATTCTACGAGCTCGCTAAATTATGATCTTCATAAAAGATCATTTATTTTATTGTCCTATATATAGATATAGATGAAGGAAACACTTCGATGCTTTCTCTCTGCCAATATGACAACTCTCACTATGAATTAAAGAATGCGTACTCCATGGCTGTCAACATTGTTTTACCGAAAGTAACATATCAATTTCTGATTCAGCTATAAAGTATATATATTAGATTTATTCAGCATTAATTTAGACAGTTTATGTAAACAAGTGTGTAGATATGAGAGAAAAAACAAACAAAAAACTATCCCATGTTTTTTATCATATTACCGCCATTATCATTTTGAAGGTTTTAGAATTCACGTGTATTTGTACAATGGTAAATGTTCTCATTTTTAAACGTTATTATACAACTTCCTGTAAACAAAAATTTATGTGAGAAACAACCTTGAAAGTTTACGTTACATAATATTATCTTTATCAAAACAGTAACAATAATCCTATGTTTTTACTTAAATCACCCTCCCCCTCCCTTCCAACCAAACCCCCCCCCCCCCCTTTGAATATTTACGTTACATAATATTATCTTTATCAAAACAGTAACAATAATCCTATGTTTTTACTTAAATAACCCCCCCCCCCCATTCTCACCCCATACTTACTGTGTCTACCTTGAGATGAAATCCGATTGTCAATGTGGAGTATCTGGACCAAACTCCTGGTAATGGACGTGATGAATGTACTGAATAGGTTTGTGGTAAGTCTGAAAACGTGATGGTGGATTATTTCCAACATTTCTAATTTTATTTTTTTATAGGAGTTGTTTCCCTTCGATTATGTTTCTGTAAATAACGATTATTGTAAACAGCCATAATCTATTCGATCTTGAACACTGTAATTTGGGGAAGACTTATGTAGGCTTCTAGTCCTAGGTCCAATACAGTTGCTTTATTTATAAATAAAATTGAAAATTGAAAATTCAGATCACTCTGACGACTGTAAAACGTCCCATGATTTTCATCAACCTGCATATTTTGAAATCCTGTGTTGTGAGTTTTTCTCACAAATGAGAACACCTTGCCCGAAAATCATATTTGGAACAGTCATTTAAATATCAAATCACCCGCAACATATCAAAATCATGGGTTTTTTAATTCAGGGTTCTTGCTATTCAAAAATATAAAATTCAAGAAAGAGAAATTGATATAATCACGCTGCATATCATACAGCTTGGTAGAAAGCTGTTGGTTTCGTTGTAGGAAATCGAGATAAGCGGCTGAAGAGTCTGTATAATCCTTGATTTCATACGAAAGATGTCGTTGATAAATTTCTTGTGATTTACAGACAATGCGTCATCAACGTATGATGCATCTTAGTGCAAAATTAAAGGGCTTTGTTAGGTCCTTTGGCTTGTTTTAATACGACCTGTGATCCAGTCTTGTTTCAACAGAAAAACAAGCCAGCCAACAAAGAGGTACCGTTAGTTCCCATAGCTATCCCGAAAGCTTGAGGGAAGACCTTACCAAAAAAACGCTGCAGAGATATTTTCAGAAGTAAACTCTATTTTTGTGAAGATTTCGTTCTCTGTGTAATTTTTCTTTGATTTTGACGCATTTTTTTCACGAGAGTGTGTATCTTTGTCACAACAACATACATATTTATTTTAGATTTTAAGTTTTGGAGTTAGTAAACCTCCGGATATAGGTTTTACATTTCCTGTGACCTGTTTGAATTTTCCCTTAGTTGTATCCTTGGTTTCAACAATTTAAGCTCCTTAGAAATAGTTGCATGATGCGGGTTAATTCATTTATTGTCTTTAAATTAAAACGAGACTTTTTCAATTTTTTGCCTTTTGTACGATATTTCAATTTCTTCTCGTCTTTTCTCATCTTTCAGTTAACAAAAGAGTAGATCCCATAGTGTTTACATTTTCGGTCCTTTCAGATTGTTACCAAGTCCATACAAATGCTTCACTGGTTACCACGTGTTCTCATGAATGTTGTGAATGTATTCATGTCTTCATCATATATATGTCTTAAATGATCACTTAAATAAATAAAAAAACATATTTTCTTCAGAGAATATTTTATATAGCGAAAATATATGATATTCAAACGAACTATTTTTTTACAAAACGTAAATATGAATATATGATAATATTGACAATCCATAATGATTAAATGTTCATGATAAATGTACACACGTTAGCATTTAATTTTCATGTTATTTGATGACAAGTAAACAAACAGAAAATCACAAATGATGACGTTTGTAATGGATTCTTCTGTAATAAATCTCCCCAAACAAATTATCACCAGCAATGATAAACCTAATACTGGTACCCTTAACTTTATCACCAGTAATGATAAACCTAATACTGGTACCGTAAACTTTATCACCAGTAATGATAAACCTAATACTGGTACCCTTAACTTTATCACCAGTAATGATAAACCTAATACCGGTACCCTTAACTTTATCACCAGTAATGATAAACCTAATACTGGTACCGTAAACTTTATCACCAGTAATGATAAACCTAATACTGGTACCCTTAACTTTATCACCAGTAATGATAAACCTAATACCGGTACCCTTAACTTTATCACCAGTAATGATAAACCTAATACTGGTACCGTAAACTTTATCACCAGTAATGATAAACCTAATACTGGTACCCTTAACTTTATCACCAGTAATGATAAACCTAATACTGGTACCCTTAACTTTATCACCAGTAATGATAAACCTAATACCGGTACCGTAAACTTTATCACCAGTAATGATAAACCTAATACTGGTACCCTTAACTTTATCACCAGTAATGATAAACCTAATACTGGTACCGTAAACTTTATCACCAGTAATGATAAACCTAATACTGGTACCGTAAACTTTATCACCAGTAATGAAAAACCTAATACTGGTACCGTAAACTTTATCACCAGTAATGAAAAACCTAATACTGGTACCGTAAACTTTATCACCAGTAATGAAAAACCTAATACTGGTACCCTTAACTTTATCACCAGTAATGATAAACCTAATACTGGTACCCTTAACTTTATCACCAGTAATGATAAACCTAATACTGGTACCGTAAACTTTATCACCAGTAATGAAAAACCTAATACTGGTACCCTTAACTTTATCACCAGTAATGATAAACCTAATACTGGTACCCTTAACTTTATCACCAGTAATGATAAACCTAATACCGGTACCCTTAACTTTATCACCAGTAATGAAAAACCTAATACCGGTACCGTAAACTTTATCACCAGTAATGAAAAACCTAATACTGGTACCCTTAACTTTATCACCAGTAATGATAAACCTAATACTGGTACCGTAAACTTTATCACCAGTAATGATAAACCTAATACTGGTACCCTTAACTTTATCACCAGTAATGATAAACCTAATACTGGTACCTTATATATTAAACAGTATGTATCAAGGTAAATCACACTGGATAACAAATTTCACTTCCGTTATCTATCGGAATGCATTTTCCTAAAGATGAAGTGAAAATATATGACGTCACGTAATTTAAATACTTATATTTAACATTCTGCCATGACGTCATTTGGCGACACCATTTTTTATGTTAACATTGGATGTTAATCGGTAGCTTGATAATTCCGATCCTTTCCGATATACATTTCAGGGATAAAAACTGAGCGTACGATTGATGAAATATCTGTTTATGTTGTGTGTGTATTAAAATATAAAAACCGACTACATGTATACTCTTATATACATGTTAAAAAAACAATATAAAACATTATGTGTAAACGATTATAAACTCCTTAATTACAGAAATGGGTTAAATTTAAACAGATAATTTGTTATGGTCTACCGACGAGTAATTTTAACTGATATAACAGACTGTAAAAGTTAGAAAACGCGAAAATTCATGTATTGATTGATAACATTACTGTTATCACTTATTTGGTCTTGATAAAAAAAATTGACATAAAACTGACTGACTATACCATGATACTATTATGCTAAAATTAAGTGTGATACATACAACAAAACATACGATAGAATTAGTTATCGCGGTGCCGTGTCCCGATTAAAAAAATACTATCAAATGATACCAAATAAGTATTTCGTAAGACACGGTTAAAAAAAAGCCAAACAAGAAGGTAGATAACTCGACATGTTTAATGGAGCAGATATGTAACGATAAAAATATAAAGCATGAAAAAAGACTTATAAAACTTAACACAATGGTCACACGACCGAATATCTATCTTGTATTTGTGTACTGTGCTTATTTACATGTTATGATCTTTTTCTGAATAAAAAGGGCTACATAAATGGAATAATGATCACGTGATCACATAACGTAAGGCACTTTTAGGTAAGCTGGAAGAACATACGTTTTGGTACTGAGGGCGAAAAGGGAATTGAAATTTCAAACCTGTTTCAAATGAATTGTCTGGGAGGGTGAGGGGATGGGGGTTAGGAGTGATGTGTGAATCCCAACTATTTTCCATTTCAATCGTGTTACCTGAATCAGTCTAGTTTTGTCTGTATTACTTCTCTAGATCAGCAACACCAACTGATTACTTTTTTTACGGAAATGAGGACATTACATCATATATAACAGCACATGATACTCCACAGAAAATAGAGTTCGTATACAACCTAAACATAACAGGAAATGACGTCATGTATAACAGCACATGAAACTCCACCGAATATATACTTCGCACACTACCTAAACAAAACAGGAAATGACGTCATGTATAACAGCACATGGTATTCTCACAGAAAATTTATATCATTCACTATCTAAACATACCAGGAAATGACGTCATGTATAACAGCACATGATACTCCCATAGAAAATATAGTTTGAGCCCTATCTAAGCATACCAGGAAATGACGTCATGTATAACAGCACATGATACTCCCATAGAAAATATAGTTTGTGTCCTATCTAAACATACCAGGAAATGACGTCATGTTTACCAGCATATGATACTCCCACAGAAAATATAATTTGTGCCCTATCTAAGCATACCAGGAAATGACGTCATTCATGACAGTACAGGATAACACGGGAACAATTTAGTTCGATCACTACCTCAAACAGGAAAGGGAATGACGTCATTCATGACGACGCATAATGGTTATATAATGTCGAACAGTTTGAATTTTCGTCCCGTGTGAAAATCGCATTCAAGTTGATCTATCTAGACTTGTATGCTGTCCTCGAAAATTGACAATAGAAGGATTATCAGAACGCCGATGAGTATACCGATATTGTGGTATATGATCGTCTTCAGACGGCCAGCCCCGGCCTGAATCAGTTCAGGAATCTGAAACACAATGAACAGTTTTAATACATTGTATTCTAAAAAGAATATTGAATATTGAACTGTTTGAACACATAATGTTCTTAGAGCGCTGATTAAGTGTTTGAATACACTGTCATTTAAGACGGATATATCGACCATTGAACTATTTGAACACATTCTCCTCAGAGACTATATTGTGCATTAACGTGTTTGGACGCATTCTCCTCTAAGACGTATATTGAACATTAACCTGATTAAACACATTCTCCTCTAAGACGTTTATTGAAAATTAATCTGATTAAACACATTCTCCTCTTAGACGTATATTGAACATTAAACTGTTTGAACACATTCTCCTCTAAGACGTATATTGAACATTAACCTGATTAAACAAATTCTCCTCTAAGACGTATATTGAACATTAACCGGTTTGAACACATTCTCCTCTAAGACGTATATTGAACATTAATCTGACTAAACACATTCTCCTCTAAGACGTTTATTGAACATTAATCTGATTAAACGCATTCTCCTCTAAGACGTATATTGAACATTAAACTGTTTGAACACATTCTCCTCTAAGACGTATATTGTGCATTAACGTGTTTGGACGCATTCTCCTCTAAGACGTATATTGTGCATTAACGTGTTTGGACGCATTCTCCTCTAAGACGTATATTTAACATTAACCGGTTTGAACACATTCTCCTCTAAGACGTATATTGAAAATTAACCTGTTCGAACGCATTCTCCTCTAAGACGTATATTGAACATTAACCTGTTTGAATGTATTTGGCTCCGAAGAAGAATGTAAGACTTTAGACAGTTTAATAACACTGCCTGCCAAGAATACATGCACTGTTCTAAGAAAGACATTAAATATTGGAATGTTTGAATAATTTTTCCTCCGTGTCATGGAATGATGAAACAATTATTAGACTTTGACACTCTCTCATCAGTATCACTTTGAACATAGATTTTTTGTAACTAAACGTGTAAGAGCATCTAGAGAATAAATTAATGCCTGAAATGTTTCCATTGTTTTGATAATGACGTCAACACTTCATGACATCGTTTGCATTCTGAATGTCCTTATAGAGATATGAAGTGAGATCGTCGGCAATTTTGATTTTATATCAGTCTAACACACAAACATTAGAGAAGAGCCCATGCTTTGTTACAAACATAATCTTACATGTATTTCCAGTCTGAGAATCGGTAAGAGGTAAAATCGTTGCCTAAATCTCATACAAAATTCATGACAGATTCTCATTTGGTTGTTGGAAAGTATTCACATCTCTTTAAGCTATTGTCACTTACCATGTCTGTCATTGAGATGTAGAGAAAGAGCCCGGCTGCAATAGAGAAGATCCACTGACTGGCTCCCACGCCTTTTGATAAAGAAACTCCTATATAGAATCCCAGCAGAGCTGTGAGTGACGACATCAGATTAGCGATCAACGCCTTCTTAAAACTGAGTCCATTTTTCATTAAGATAGCAAAGTCACCTAAAATGAATCGAAAATGTAAACATGTTATGTACTGAATTCCTGATATTAAAATAAAACATTTTAAATTTACCCTAAACTTCGCAACTGTATACATTAATACATTTTGTATGTATGGTTATAGAACACCTATGTGGTACATAATTTGTTTTTACACGGTTCAATGGTAACACCGAAGATCACGTTAGGATGGTTGTCAAAAGGGACAAAGTTTGGACAAGTCCTATTTATTTCCAATGTTTCGTATCATTCATGTTAATAAATAAATCATATGAAATGGAAAGTGGCAGATAAGTTCTCCAATGACCTTGACACACCCTATTTCATTTGGATCGTATGGACCGTTATATATACCAATAGGTCAACATTGAATACCTTTCAAAACGACGTTGTGATTGTAATAATTCTGGTATTTTTTGGAACCCAAGGTCAGAAATGAGTCGCAATAACGTCAAGCTGTCACATATATTTACATATATATACAGTATCAGGAACCACTCAACATAATGCTTGAAAAATAAGAGCTTGGAGTATCTGTGTCCCTGCTCAGTCAAGTGTGAACCCATTAGAAACTTACCCAGTTCCTGTGGCAACTCGTGACAAATGATTGCCAGGGACGTCGATATACCCTCTACAATGCTGCTGTTGAAGGAGGCAGCTACAGCCAGGCCGTCCGTGAAGTTGTGTATAGCGTCTCCGATAACGATCATCACAACGATGGGCTTCAAGTCTGTAAATAGAAAATAAATTATCACCTTGATAGGCAACACATCTGTCAAACATCACCACGATAGGCAACACATCTGTCAAACATCACCACGATAGGCAACACATCTGTCAAACATCGCCTCGATAGGCAACACATCTGTCAAACATCGCCTCGATAGGCAACACATCTGTCAAACATCACCTCGATAGGCAACACATCTGTCAAACATCACCTCGATAGGCAACACATCTGTCAAACATCACCTCGATAGGCAACACATCTGTCAAACATCACCTCGATAGGCAACACATCTGTCAAACATCACCACGATAGGCAACACATCTGTCAAACATCACCACGATAGGCAACACATCTGTCAAACATCACCTCGATAGGCAACACATCTGTCAAACATCGCCTCGATAGGCAACACATCTGTCAAACATCACCTCGATAGGCAACACATCTGTCAATCAAACATCACCTCGATAGGTTTCACATCTGTCAGTCAAACATCATCTCGATAGGCAACACATCTGTCAATCAAACATCACCACGATAGGCAACACATCTGTCAAACATCACCTCGATAGGCAACACATCTGTCAAACATTACCTCGATAGGCAACACATCTGTCAAACATCACCTCGATAGGCAACACATCTGTCAATCAAACATCACCTCGATAGGTTTCACATCTGTCAAACATCACCTCGATAGGCAACACATCTGTCAAACATCACCACGATAGGCAACACATCTGTCAAACATCACCTGGACAGGAAACACATCTGTCTATCAAACATCACCTCGATAGGCAACATATCTGTCAAACATCACCTCGATAGGCAACACATCTGTCAAACATCACCTTGATAGGCAACACATCTGTCAATCAAACATCATCTCGATAGGCAACACATCTGTCAATCAAACATCACCACGATAGGCAACACATCTGTCAAACATCACCTTGACAGTAAACACATCTGTCTATCAAACATCACCTCGATAGGCAACATATCTGTCAAACATCACCTCGATAGGCAACACATCTGTCAAACATCACCTCGATAGGCAACACATCTTTCAGTCAAACATCACCTCGATAGGCAACACATCTGTCAAACATCACCTCGATAGGAAACATATCTGTCTATCAAAACATCACCTCGATAGGCAACACATCTGTCAAACATTACCACGATAGGACACACATCTGTCAAACATCGCCTCGATAGGCAACACATCTGTCTATCAAACATCGCCTCGATAGGCAACACATCTGTCAATCAAACATCACCTCGATAGGCAACACATCTGTCAATCAAACATCATCACGATAGGCAACACATCTGTCGATCAAACATCACCACGATAGGCAACGCATCTGTCAAACATCACCTCGATAGGCAACACATCTGTCAATCAAACATCACCTCGATAGGCAACACATCTGTCAATCAAACATCACCTCGATAGGCAACACATCTGTCAAACATCACCTCGATAGGCAACACATCTGTCAATCAAACATCACCTCGATAGGCGACACATCTGTCTATCAAACATTACCACGATAGGCTTGCTCGGATTGTGCGATAAATGTTGAAGACCAAAACAAATTAGATACACGTATTAAGTCGAAATGAAATAGTGTATAACGCCACATGAAACTCTAAATAGATAGATTATACAGAAATCTTATCAATGCTTATAAACTGAATTTATTTCAAAGAAATGTTTTCATTTCCAATATGTTTTTCAGATATATGAAATGCCGGCTTTAAAATCGATAGGAGCAGAAGAATGAAAGTACATTGTAGCATTAAGAAAGGTAGTGAAATGTTACTAGCTCTACACCAAGGCTAAAGCCTTGTCGGACGTGATCAGGTAGGAAGTAGAATGCGGGATGTGGTATCAGGTGGTAGGTGGTGAAGTGTTAAAGAAATCTACAAGTGCTCTACAAGAAATCTATTCCCCATTTGGACCTGAGCGGTTACAGGGAGTGAAATGCGGGATGTAGCTTCAGTGGGTAGGCGGTGAGGTGGTACTCACTTTCAAACAAAGATACTTTTCGGTCAGGCTTTATTGAGTCATCTGCTGGACCACGTGACATCAAGATCCGTGTCGACTTGAAAAATTGATTAAAATCACCATGGTTATAAAAAGAATAGATTAGTTTTATGTATTAACGACTTACAGCTTTTTTTCTCCACCTTGTTTTCTGTCTGCATTTCAACTCTCAATGCTGTTTGGTGGTTCTGTAGACAAAGAAGCAAGAGTTAAACACATCATATTACCAGGCTCCCATCCTAAATGGAATTCTAGAGGGGTTCATTAAAAAAAGGTAGTAAGATAGAGAAGTAAGAATATGGGGTGACAAACTTAATGTAATAAACATGACGAGGCCTGAGAGGTTAGACTATGGGGTGAAGAACTTAATATGATAATCATGACGAGACCCGAGAGGTTAGACTATGGGGAGACAAACTTAATGTAATAAACATGACGAGGCCTGAGAGGTTAGACTATGGGGTGACACACTAAATGTAATAAACATGACGAGGCCTGAGAGGTTAGACTATGGGGTGACACACTAAATGTAATAAACATGACGAGGCCTGAGAGGTTAGACTATGGGGTGACACACTAAATGTAATAAACATGACGAGGCCTGAGAGGTTAGACTATGGGGTGACACACTAAATGTAATAAACATGACGAGGCCTGAGAGGTTAGACTATGGGGTGATACACTAAATGTAATAAACATGACGAGGCCTGGGAGGTTAGACTATGGGGTGACACACTAAATGTAATAAACATGACGAGGCCTGAGAGGTTAGACTATGGGGTGACACACTAAATGTAATAAACATGACGAGGCCTGAGAGGTTAGACTATGGGGTGACACACTAAATGTAATAAACATGACGAGGCCTGAGAGGTTAGACTATGGGGTGACACACTAAATGTAATAAACATGACGAGGCCTGAGAGGTTAGACTATGGGGTGACACACTAAATGTAATAAACATGACGAGGCCTGAGAGGTTAGACTATGGGGTGACACACTAAATGTAATAAACATGACGAGGCCTGAGAGGTTAGACTATGGGGTGACACACTAAATGTAATAAACATGACGAGGCCTGAGAGGTTAGACTATGGGGTGACACACTAAATGTAATAAACATGACGAGGCCTGAGAGGTTAGACTATAGGGTGATACACTAAATGTAATAAACATGACGAGGCCTGGGAGGTTAGACTATGGGGTGACACACTAAATGTAATAAACATGACGAGGCCTGAGAGGTTAGACTATGGGGTGACACACTAAATGTAATAAACATGACGAGGCCTGAGAGGTTAGACTATGGGGTGACACACTAAATGTAATAAACATGACGAGGCCTGAGAGGTTAGACTATGGGGTGACAAACTTAATGTAATAAACATGACGAGGCCTGAGAGGTTTGACTATGGGGTGACAAACTTAATGTAATAAACATGACGAGGCCTGGGAGGTTAGACTATGGGGTGGCACACTAAATGTAATAAACATGACGAGGCCTGAGAGGTTAGACTATGGGGTGACACACTAAATGTAATAAACTTGACGAGGCCTGGGAGATTAGACTATGGGGTGACACACTAAATGTAATAAACATGACGAGGCCTACCAGTGTATTGCTTGATACGTAATGGAAGCATATGACATACATATATTACATGAAGTGTTCACACCAATCAGGTAATTCGATATTAACCAATAAAAATACAACATTTAATAATTGAAACTTTGTTGAGTTTACAAATAAGGGAGTAGATAGCTACTATTAACATTAGCAATATCTTACACAAACATCCTATCATACTTCCAATGGAGAAATGATACATTGTTGAACATCATTATTCTTGTGGATTTTTTTTACAACGAGTACATAATTGATCTATCAAACAGCACTCAGTTATAAATGAAGAGTATATTATATCTATATACTATACGTATGTATTGTAAATCATATTTTGAAGAACAAAATGTTTTCATTTATGTCATATTTTGAAACAGATATATAATTATACTCTATCCGTGCAAGTTTACACATATGATAAACCTCATATCATGATTTCCAAATTCATTAGAATTTTACTGTGAAGATGTCATGGCTGCCTGAGGAAGGTTATATACATACATATGTAAGGTAATGAATACATATAACAACATAACGTTTATGTCTTAGATGTGACATGAAATATAAAAATAAATTGTTAAACATTATATAGAATTACAGATCCTAATAAATAGTTGTCAGTGATTAAGTAATAAGTATGTTTTTATTGTCTGAAATCGTTAAACAAATTACAGTCGTTAGTCATAGACGATGTCGACCAACGTCTCCTTCTCTCTGTAATTTGTAATGTATATATAGAGAATGGCGTTAACAATGGTGTGCTTATTTATAGAAAGACAGTTGCTTATGGTGGAAGATAGTGATATTTATAAGAAACGGAGATCAAGTCATTAACATACATCGTAGTCGGGAGACACCTGTCGAGACGACCTTGAGAAATAAGAAAATATATCATCGGAACATGTCAGCATTGACTTGGCCTTTGTTCGTAGGACTGGCTCTGACAATTTTGTTTCCAGTTTTTGTTCGATGGAGACGTTTATTTGAATAATAAGTATAAGAATGCTACAAAAAACAACTGTTTTGGTGTTTCACTGATGAATGTATACTGATATACCGTTGGACACACATTAGTCAGACCCAGTAGTACAAATTTATAAACCTGATGTCACGTGTTGACAACAAATACACTTGTGACTCGTCGGCTGTAGACAGCTACATAGAAATACAAACCTAAGCGGAGGACCAATGTCAGCAAGATCTGCGGATGTTCCAAGAAAATCATTTTTAGACCTTCTCCACGGAACATCCTTGAATTTTTTAAAGAATGCTACCTAAAGCCATTCCGGGGTACTTCCTACGTAATACATTTTATTAGCTGCTGCAAGTGGAATTTACATTCTTAGACATTACGAAGCATTAGTACGACGTTGTACTGATAAAAACACAGTAAAACTTACTAATATTTGTTATATATTAAATCAACAGATTTTATTTCCGCCTTAATCATTGTTTACCGCTTCAAATATCACATTAACACGTGTAGAAATACATGTATATAACATGCTATATTTGGGAGAGCGTTAGGGTTATCAGAAAGACTTCGTATAAATTTCACTGCATTGACGATGCATGTAATAGTCCCCTACTAAATCGCTGTTAAAACATTCTACTTATTGATTTGATGATAAAAATCCCACTTTTTGTAATTTTGTAACATTGTTTTATCAAGCAGTTCTCTGGTGACAGAAGTGGAAATCATAAGTTTAGAATATTAAACAACTCACATCGTCAAGCTTTCGGAGTGTCTCTAGTTTTTGCTCACCGAACCCATTGCCTACGCCATCCATCAAGTCTGCCTTAGCTTCTCCTTTCTAATAAAGAAAATATACATGTTGTCATTGTCTAGACATCTACAATTCCACTTTGTCTTGATTAACCACACATATCACTTACAAATAAATACATATATATTGTTTACCAAGGTAATACTAATGTATATATCAAAATCATCGTGATTTGCACCTGGTTGTTTTCTGATCCGGTTTAAAATTCTGTGATTATAAAAGTTAGGAGTTATTCAAATCGCTTTCTAAAGATGGTTTGGTGATGAAAAGAATGGAAAATATTGATAAGATCACTTGCGTAGTCAGAGAATGGAGGGATTCCGAACTCTGGAGAGATATACCCAATGAATCCGGTATAACTGTGCAGAAGGAAACTCGGTTTACTGTCCGCCCCTTTTCTCCAGACAAAAACAAGAAACGACGCTACGAACCATTAGGCACACGGAACTAACAGTGTTTAATTAAGCTCCAGAGAAATAAACTGCGGCGAATTGGGCAACATAAAACAAGGCTTTTTGACGCACGATTAATAAAAATTGTCAGGTTGCAAAACATAATATTATATAAATTAACAATGAATCATTCACATGTTGGGGGGGGGGGGAATCAAAATATTAGGCATTTTCATGGTTCTGGAAAAATAACATCTCAAAATAAACATGTGCTTTCTACATAGATGATCCGATGATCCTATTTAGTTACCTTTAGATGACGCATGTTTTTCTTTCTTTTCACATTAGCACAAGGAAAACGTCATATCAAATGAATAGGGACATATAATGTGTAATATTGAATTCAAGATTAAAAAAAAATCCATACATTTCTAGATTTGTTTTCTTCATCATGTTGGAAGCATTGACAGCAAGTTAAATAAATAAAGACAAAACAAAAACAAAACCAAAAAAACAACAACAAACAAACAAAAAGAGAATATACAGACATGTCAAAATTCATTCAAACTAAAATTCTTTGAAACAAAGGCAAAATGTGAACAAATGAAATATCAATTCCTGAAAGATTACAAAGAGAAGACCTGGTCTTCCGGAAAGATTGTATCATCGGATTCATCGACGACGCCTGCCATTTAAATCTTTGTCAATCCAAGTTCCTTCATGAAAACGCTGTTAACAACAACAGAACAACAATCAAACACGTCACACCTAGGTAGGTACAAGGTGAGTAAGTATTTGCCATTAAGATCATAATGACCATCAAACCTCACTATAACCCTGTTTAACCGATATCTTGCGAATAAGTCGCCGATCAGTTTCCGACATGTATGTATCTTTTTCAAATTAGGAACAAGCCATTCAAAAGCAAATTAACTGCGACAGGTAAATACCATAGGTTGAGGAATGGAGATGGCATTCATATCGTCTATGAATATATCGTTTTAACACAGGTGTGTGCTATTACTGACACATAATATAAAATATCTCTTCTATCTATACTGTTCTCATAATTGTTTTGGTTTCAATTTTCATGAAAACAAGCTCGCCGCATTGTTGCTTTGACATATAGACAGTGTATTATCCTTACTCAAATCCGGTGCATGTTGGTAATAATTGCGAAACTGATATTGCAATATCAGCTGAGTTCTTTTTGTTTTCGTACGAGACTGACTTTATTGAAGAGCTTATCTAAACAGGTCACAAAGACCTTGAGAAGTCCGTATATTGATAATATTCTGTCTTTGAATAACAAGAAATTTATTGACAACGTCCATCGTATATACCCTCTAGAATAGGACATTAAAGACACAACAGACTCTTCTAACAGTCGTTTATCTCGATCTTTCCCACCAGGCTGTATGATCAGTGTGATTTCAATTTCCCTATTGTGAATTTTCCATTTTCGGATAACAACACCCTGAATCCCCAACACAGTGCAGATTGATGAAAATTATTTATGCGACATGAAAATGGACGTAGTTTTCCTGTTGGTTCCTTTGCTGTATACCTTGTCCTCATTTGCGAACGTGACATTACTGATTTGGATTGACCAAGGTTTATATGGTGAGTGTCGTAGATGTAGGAAAAGACGCTGACTCTTCCGAAGCACCTGATTTTATTCTGCGTATGAATGTTTCTTTCGGTCACATTTTGCCCTAGTTTTAATGTATTTGAGTTATGATTATAATATATTGACTTGTTAATATTTGATTGTTATTTTGATGACAGCACTGACATTTATCTAGACGAGTATGAGTAAAAATCTGTTGTAATGACGTTGCTAACATATATGACAAAATACTTACTCCTTTTCCATGTAGAGATGCCATGATGACCTCCAGTATGTAGAAAGCATAAATTCCTGTTGATAAGTAAATAAACAACTGATAATTAAATCGAGATCTCTGTCCGCCATATTTGATAATTGATAAAAGACATGAATATACATATTCTTATAACAAACACAAGAGATAAGTTATATTTGATTCACCTCAATGAAACTAATGCAAAATAGAAACAAAAGAAGGAACAACACGGAAACTTATGAGAAAGCACAAGGGGAAAATGACTAAAGACTAAGCCGATGGCCATTTCGATTTCAAGTCGTGATAACATGGGACATTGCAGTCACGAAATCGAAGACATCTTTATCATGTTTTAAGGAGAAATGCGCCTTAAATTGATTTTTTAAATATCATGCAGTTGTAACTCAAAAACGATCAAACCACAAATATAACAGTTGACGTACTCCAGCTAGTAAGTATGACCGATGGTTTTACATAAGTTCTATTTAATCTAGTCATTTTTTCCCCAAACGGGGTCAAGAAAATAAGAGATATTGACTATTTAGCAACCTTTGAAGTATATCTTCCTATCGTTTTGCATTTGATAAGAGAAATCAACTGTCAATACAGACCAACTAACATACGACGCAAGTTTGCCAAAATATTTTACCTGAGGCATCGTATTGGAAATATTGAAATCCCAATATGGCTAAAAAGCGTTTTCGACACGACGATATTGGGGTTTTGCTATGGTTCAAAATGTAAATAATACTACTCATTAAGACTGTAAAAACGGCCTGGAATCTGAATCTCCTTGTGCTTTGAATCGGTTTAAAAATTGTCTTCGATCATGTTTTTGTCCCCATTTCATCGTTGAGATTAGCATTACGTTTTTGTCTGATTTTAGTAAATTTTACCTGCTAACACGATAAGGCAGTACCAGACGTATGGATCAACGTGGATTTGGTGGTCATCATGGTCGTCGTTATGTGTAGTGTTCGCCCCTTCATCTTCGCCGTTATGGTGACCATGTAAGGATAGAGCCTACAACAGCAGCATATCTTAAAATTATATATATCAAATGTGAAGAAACCGAATTCCATACTGATGTTGGAGTGTTACACTCACTTTGCAGTAAAAATACATTTTGTGTAAAACTTGTTAAGCCCATTGATCTTGACTACCCATTAACTATGGGGAATTTATCTCAGTATACCTAAATTACTGCCCACTGCTAGGTAGATAGAAAACATTAACTTTATAACAGAAAACATTAATCACTACATATTTTCATATGGACAGAAAACATTGAATTTATCTCAAAGTGTATTAGTTATCACACATATCCATGATAATACAAAACATTGACTAATAACTAAAATCCTCAATCATCATAGATTTGCATGATAAAAATTGACCATATCACTTAATAAACTTAATAACGAAATATTTCGTTGAATTATGTGTCGCTGATTCAATTGTTAAAATGCTGACAGTTTGAAAATACCCTTATTAAATAAACTAATATGAACGCTGCTAAATCTGCAAAACCGTTGGCCTCCCGTATGGTGTTCAGTGTGGTAGTACAATCTAGTACAAAGTAGCTTATCCCCTAATAACATTGTCTGTTCATAGTGTGATCAACCCATCAAACAAACGTTTGGTAAGTACAAGATGAGCTTATCAAATATATTTGATATATTTGCATATATATATATATATATGCAAGTATATGTATATATATATTGACGCCGTTACATTGTTGGTGTATACGTGTTGAGGCGAGGGCTTCAATAAGTTAACATAACTTGCTCCAGTCCTAGATTAAATTGTTGAAACAAAATAATGTAGAAACTTTGATATAGGCCCTTTCATCCATGCCGACACCAAAGTGCCGTCACAAAAGCTTATTGAACAGAATTAATTAATCTTATATGAACAATTTGTTGTTGTATATCGCTGTAAGGATCTATAAAATCAGTAACCAATGTGCATTCTTTAAAAAATGGGTTCCACTATAAAAAATTTCAGCATTTCAAGAAATTCTTCCATTCCCCTTAAAATTCTATGAGGGCAGAACGCTTGACTCGCAGGTAGATTTATCACTGGAAAAGGTAATGATTTACTTTTCCTCCGTATTCTAATGATCTACATATTTAATGTCAAAGCAGGAATGACTTATTGCATACTTTGAATACGTGCTATTAAAACACAGCCATGTATAGACTATAGCGTTAATATTGCAATCTTCTACATGTCTATTGCATCGTTAGCGATTTATCAAATTCGTTTACAGTGTCAATTATCAATCAAATATATAGTCGAGAACAACGTTTGAATAAGCATAAATGAAATGTGTGTTGCATAACTATCTTAACAACGGTGGTTTGTCAGTTGGCTGTTTCCCATTAACATAAATTAATGGGTAAGCTATTGTATATCGAGAAATAAATAAATGCAAGTGGCATTGCTAATATATCATAATGATGAGTCCAATGAGCTATTGCAAACGATATCATAATAATCATGAGATTATGTCAAAATAATTTAGAGTTAGATACAGTAGAGCCAAACTATAAATCAAACTGTAGTATTTAGCCAATTCGCATATCTAAAAATCGTCAGTGATGCTAAGGGCCTAACTTTTTAAGCTAAAGAGGCGAGTCAAAATCTAGACAGGAAAGTGCAGCTTGATTAAACAAATTTTGTAATTTTAAAACAGCGTCAAGTACATGTGTATATTTTTAACTGTGCCACGTTTTTGATTGAATTAAACCGTGTTATCCAGGTATAATAGTATCAGATATAGTATGACAGAATATTACGATAATCAAATATGTGATGTCTTCAAAAAGCTAAAGTATACTCAGAATATGGAATATTAGAGTGTGACGTTTCGATGACTAAACGGCTTCTCCTTATAACACAACCAGTAGAAGATTTGAGTATGGCGTTTCGATGACTACATGGTCAGCTTCATCAGACAAATGACCAGTGTGAAGCGTACTAGCAATGGCGTACGTAGTTTATGAGATAGTACGGAATCGACCAACGTTTTCGGCTGCACCATAATCCTATGTTCACTTAGGTCGAAAATTAATGATGAAGGTGGCCGTGCAGTCATCGAAACGTCACACTCTAATCTTCTGCTGGTTGTATTATAAGAACTTCTATTGGCATTACCAACTTGAAGAAAATGTTTTTAAAAAATGATATGTCACAATAAGCAATAGTACATAACTTTAGAGTTTGATGATAAGCAAAGTAATAAAAGGGAATCCTTTGTCATATGTCTAACACAAAAGTGATGCGTCTATCTCAGAGAAATTTTGATGTTTTAATAGCAAATTAAATTTCTGGTAATATCATAACACCTGCAATGAACGTCCCAATGCATGTTGACGTCAGCTTAAAAGGGTCTCTCCGGAAGGTACATTGTAAGAATAGACGTGCTTGGATACTTCACACTACATAACCCATGTATGTTCCCATGCCCCACCTGCCTGTCAGTCTAAACCTTTCAATAGCACACAGTCCGATTTTTGTCTGATGCGATGATCGATTATGTACCAATACTGACTTACAAGAAGCCATGAAACGTGATAGTGTGTAAATTTTTTACTCTTTAGAATCTCCAATGTTTCTGTCCTCCTTATAGGCGTTTTAAAAGAATTTTTTGTGTGCACACGGTGTTGAATGAACGGCCTGTAAACACACCAAGATGAAAGAAGACTTTTCCCTAACTGTCTTTGATGACCTAAGGAACTAAAATGTGTTACCGTGGAAGGATACTAAGGAACTTATCGAGGTCAAATGTTGAATGCAAAACAACCCATTATGGTGATAGTCTGACCTGTCAAAATGTAACAGCGCTAGTCACGCCCAGGTTTAATCTGTACTGGAATTGTGGTGCCTTTCAATCACACGCACTTTGTAAAATATTGACCAGCGAAGTATATAAATGTATGTATCTCTAACTTTAATTGCCGAGTATAATAGCCTACTTCAAAAACGACGATAAAAATTGCCGAGTAAGAGAAATCAGATGTTAAGATATCAATGTCATACAAGTCAAAATCATGATATCGGAGAATAAACAGACTGCATATAAACACTGGTAATATACTGGTAAATAAGACAAACACACAAACAGCCACGGGCTATTTGCCACACGTAGTGGTCTATATACGGCACGTGAATCTTATTAGGCGGGCGTCTAGAAAGGTCATTAGTCTCCCTGTATAACTCTAGGATATTTATAATGCAAATGATCAGACCACTTGTCCAATGTATCTAGATTTGAACCACCTTAGTCAAACTGTAGCCGAGTTGTTCAACGGCAGCATATTCTGAATATTTAGATAGTTTATCATTCTAAGTATTTTTATTCTTATTCATTATCATTGTTATAAACTAACCTGTAATAAGTATTTATATGTCTTTTCTGGTGTTCATTACAGATTTAGAAAACAAATTCTTGCCTGTTAGTTTCGTTAAGCATATGATCGTATTTATAAAATATCTATGTATATTCTAATTATTCATAAAATGGAAAAGTGTTCACAATCGTCGAGATATCTCCTACCACGCCAATAATAAAACTTTAAGTAAATTAGTCCAAAATATTGTTTTTTTTCTTAACTGAGTACACCAATATATTTACTGACAGCATTTTTTAAACAACAAAGAAATATTTGTAACTTACATACAGAAATGATGCTGATATCAATTTGGAATGATATATTGTATATCAAGGTGATATTGGTCAAAATCAAGAAAATATCAATATTTTCATAGCATTCAATATAAATGAAACGTTTACTTAACATTAATTAAATGAAGGACAATCTAGACTGCTAAGATTGGAATTTAAAACGCGTGTATTTTGGCAAATAAATCTTGTTCAATGATTCCGTGAGGTCAGATGTAATTAAGTAACGATGTGCTCAGATCGGTTGTTATTATACTCGCTAGGGTCATTAATTAAAAGAAATGTATTGTGACATAAATACTTATTCAATTATAATTATTTCACGAATTAAAAGTATTTCTTCTGAAATGTCGCTGTATTTAACACAATACTAACATTTTTTTCTTTAAAATCCTACATGATGGGGCCCTGAGACGCAGATACAGGTGTATTAACAATTTAACGTTATTGCTTAGTGTCTATGAAAGATTTACAACATACAAATACATGTGTTACTTGAGCTGTGTTTTACCTTAATCTGACTTGGCAAATTATCGATACGTTTTATAATAATATAGAATGGGAAAATATTCACCATTTTTATGATATCTCCCAAAGCCCAAGTTAATCAGCAGATAAAGAACGACTTCAGAGTGACGTCACAACATCAACACTCTTAATATCATATATATAGATTAGGACTATGATTTAAATATAGAGGCAGTTATGCCTGCGTTCAGAAAAATAAGTGAAGTTTGAATTTGGCCTCATGACGAACTTTTTCAGAAGTGGGACAAATAATTGTAGCAATTGAAGCAAAAGAAATATCGTTTAACCTTCTATGGCACAATTTTGAAAATAGGTCAAAACAAATTAATGTATATAACTTCTCACCTCTGGTATAAGATGTAGAAGGGCATCAGAAGCCAAGGTTCCGACCGCTAGTCCCATAAATATGGACAGGACCACGTGGTATGCACTATGATGTTTTTTGACGCACGGTAGAGCGAATGATCCTCCCAGGGAACACAGACAACATAATATGTTGGCTAATGTTCCATACCCGTAAACTGAAAGTAGAGAATAAAAAAAATCATAGAAGTAACTTTATTTATTTTGTCTGCTATGATATTCACTTCACTTCCCTACCGATCATTGTATACATGTATCCTCTACGAATTTCACGAATCGTGATATTTGTATCAATCTGTCATATTCCCTCAGTTATTCTTTACCACTAACAAAAGGTAGAAATTAACAACCAGCCCTCAATTTGTTTTATTAAAGGTAACGCATTGAAACATGATGATAACAAACACATGCAATATTTAATTTCTTATTCCACACTTAACACACTGGTGTGTTCTTGATAACACAAACACTGGCTTAGATAGCTCGACTTCTCTTTTGAAAATTAAAAAGATTAAACGTACAATAGGTGTTTGTCATAATGAGAAAGCTTGAACTATGTGTTTCAATGATAAAAAATGTGCTTAACAACAATAGGGGTTGTCGTCTCAACTGAAATCATGGGCCAAACAACATGGAATTTGAAACTTTATGAAACTAGGTCAAAATATATACAAAAGAAAGATAAACTCGAAGACGCCTTGAAAAGAAGAAGACCACATGTTTCGGTAGGGTAAGCATGCCACTTCTGCTTAAACACAAGTGAAATAATTCTGGTTTGTTTACTTACTTTCTGCATCAGTCGGCATGCTAATTGGTCTTGTTTGAAACCTGTGGAATAAAAAGAACAATCCTATAATATTAAAACAAATAACCAATATACACAATGACAACACAAAAAGTAAAAAAAAAACATAAGGAGCACCTAAGACATAGCAGTAACATAGAATCACTATTACAGTATGTCACGTATACCAGAATCACCCACACTTAGGTGATACTTGTATTACTGAAAAAATACAAAAAAGGTGATGGTGTATTACTGAGAAAACATAAAAAGTGATAGTGTATTACTGATAAAATATAAAAAGTGATGGTGTATTACTGATAAAACATAAAAAGTGATGGTGTATTACTGATAAAATATAAAAAGTGATGGTGTATTACAGAGAAAACATAAAAAGTGATGGTGTATTACAGAGAAAACATAAAAAGTGATGGTGTATTACTGATAAAATATAAAAAGTGATGGTGGATTACTGAGAAAACATAAAAAGTGATGGTGTATTCCTGAGAAAACATAAAAAGTGATGGTGTATTAGATAAAATATAAAAAGTGATAGTGTATTACTGATAAAATATAAAAAAGTGAGGTGTATTACTGATAAAACATAAAAAGTGATGGTGTATTACTGAGAAAATATAAAAAGTGATGGTGTACTGATAAAACATAAAAAGTGATAGTGTATTAGAAAATATAAAAAGTGATAGTGTATTACTGATAAAATATAAAAAGTAATGGTGTATTACTGAGAAAATAGAAAAAGTGATGGTGTATTACAGAGAAAACATAAAAAGTGATGGTGTATTACAGAGAAAACATAAAAAGTGATGGTGTATTCCTGAGAAAACATAAAAAAAGTAATAGTGTTTTGTCAAGGAAGCATAAAAAAATTGATGGTATATTACCCAGAAAACATTTTTAAAAAAAGTGATGGAGTATCACACAGAAAACATAAAAAGTGATGATCTATAACCGAGAAAACAAAGAAAATGATTGTGTATTACCGAGATTTTTTTTAAAGTTACAATGTATTACTGAGAAACGCCATAATAAAATCCTTCCCTGATTTAACGCGACAGCATAATTTCAGGACATGTTTTGCGACAACATTCAAATTACTCAACATTTCGGATATCCACTTATAAACAAAGTCAAAAAGACGAAGAAAAATAAATCAACAAACCAACCAAAAACAAAATGTAAGTAAATAATCGACCAATACATTAACCCAACACATATCTCCTTTGTTTAACTTAGATGTGAATGACATAAAGATATCACTTTAAGGATATATGGAGCTCATGTTTGACCGGGAATAGGGCATAATTCAATATTAAACAGATATCTTCTTTTGTGTTTTGATGTACTTTGTTACCAATAGATGTACTTCTTACCCCTAAGTGAAGCGCTTGAAATAACGTTTGTATATTATTTCCTTTGTATTGCATTATGTGACAGCTAGTTGACGTCACGATTCGGCTTTAACCGTAAAAAAATTCAACGTTTCCCCCTTGATTGGGGAATTTCTTGAGGATAGCTTTCGAAAATTTGGAAGACTTAAAAAGTTTTGGCATGGTTTATAAGCGCATATAACTGATTTTGAATTCAGGAATGCTGATTTGGTTGCTCACATTTTATATCAGGATCTAATAATGACAGTCTGTATCTCTTATCCCATTTTCATATATCAAGATGACTGATGGTTAAGCATGTCATACATTGCATTCGTAATGATATGTTCGTTTTCACGAAGAAAAATCTTTGCATGAAACAACAGTAGACATGATGATAAATTATAGCGTCATCATGCAAGGATACATGTGTTGTAAAGACTGTCATTAGTATGTCAGCAGACAAATAGAGAGGAACCATATTGAAAATCTCTTGTCGCTTATTACAAACATAAATAGGTCGCACATACATGTTTAAAATTATCTAAATGGCTTTGATTCTGAAAATCCTTAAAGTGTAAAGTCTCTGCTTTCGTCTGATGACACTTAGTTGGTATAAACAAGTATAATCTATTTTCGTATGAACTATAATTCACAGTTTCTTTAACATTCTCATGTACATGCGTGATATGCTTATCTAGTTCATAAAGATATATTAAAGTGTTTAAATATACGTGTTGTTGATATAAATATTTTTTTAAAAACCCAGTGCCTTTTTTTTTACAAATATCGTTTAAATTAACAAACATAGCTAGCTGCGCATCTATTAACACAATTTTTGAATTAACATTGAACAACTATTATCTAAATATCCGTCAACAATTACATCAGCTGTCTTGTAGTCTAGAATATGACTTCAAGTTATCGAGGGTAGTAAATGAATCTGTGTATATCCATGCGTAAATAACAGAGTAGAATATAGTACTTTTTTCTGTATTCAAAAATATTAAAGTTATAAAAAAAAGTTGTCAATAAACATGTAAGAATATGTTTATTAATAAATGAATCAATATGGCAGTATAGAATATTGAAATGGATCCCCGTAAATAGTGAAACAGTCGAGAAAACGCAATATGTTAATGATAAGAAGACATTAGTTATATATATATGGCATCCAGCAACATAATAAAACAATAATTTTTCTCTGAAAGAAATTATATTTTTATATAATAATCATGATTTTAAAAGAGAGTATGATATATCTTTAAAAAGCGAAAATAAAAACATTTATAGAGTGTACAATCAATCACACAATGCATTTGAATATTAACTACCTAAGTAGGAGATGTAGACAATTATTTTTAGACACACTCTCCCTTTTTAACTGCATCCCTGTTGACATACCCTTGTCTTACTCCTTTTAATTTTACAACGTACAAGGAAGAAAGCATTCAATTTACAGAATAAATATCGTGAAAAGCTATCAAAAGTCAGACACATTATATCCGGATCGGGATTCACACTATGAGGACATCGTGTGTTTTACGTTCAGTTCAGAAGTTTTACAAATAGAAAGCATCCTGCAGGTTTGTTGGATTCAATTAAATAACCATAAAAACTAATTAAAATAAGATTATGTTTTGATTTCTTACTTGTTCTTAACTGTTTTGTATTTATAATTGCTGTTTCAATTTTGTTAAATATGTTTGTGAAGCTTACATGTTCCTATTAGATTTACGTAATGGGATACATACAGCCAAAACATGCGATAACAGATCTGAAATAGAAATCTTTACAATAATGACAGTGGCAACGCCTATAGAAAATAAAGCGCTGGTGTTTTGACGTCCATGGAGTTCATCGAGTGTGATTGACAATGCGAGGCATAAAAACATGCACAAACAAAATTTGACATGTGCTAAGAAACCTCTCTGGTGCCTAGCCCATGTTGTATCAGCATTATGTTACACTTACTTGTTGATACAATCAAAGTTAAGGTCAGATAGACTATGGTAACACGTTGATGACATACCAATAACAACATTAAATATAGGACACCTGGAGTTTTTCTGTGATCTAAAGCACATTTAGGCACGTGAAAAAAATACATACTATAGAATCACTTTTTTTCGCCGAGAATTTGTATTTCGCGTTTATTCCCGAGCAGCAGAATTCGCGAGTTCAAATCGCTCTCAAATATACTTTAGCTAATGTTGTCCTTAAACATATGACTTCTGCTTCATCGATGACACAAACCATGTAATTATTTTGTCATTCCAAGTAAGCAGTGCCACTTACTCAAATGAGATCAATGTAAACAATAACGGAACCACCAAGAATACTAACGAGCTTTGAACACTTCCAACTTCATATTGCAAGAGATAATTCCCCAATGACAATAAAACTTTCCAATATTCCTCATCAATTCTTATCTTTCGATATTACGAGTTGTTGGTTTGCAATCTTGACATCTTGTACGGAAATAGTCATATTAGAACACCCAATCGATTTCGAAAAGTAACACTATGCAGGCATGTTGCTATACAGAAATGGAAAATGCTCAATAAGGAAATTGTAATCATCACACTTATCATACAGCTTGGTGGAACGCAGACCCTGCTGGTTTCGTTGTGGGCTAAAATGGGGGAAATAACATTTATCACTAAGTTGTGGATAAATAGAGGATATTGAAGAGTGCCTTCAGTAATAACAAATATATTTTACAAGTGTGTCAAATGTTATAGCATCTTTCACGAAAGCGCAGCAAAAATGTAATAACATTTCATCAACATTGCAATCGTAGTTTGTTGCAAATGTTTATGCACAGTAACAATCAAGCCAAATACTATGTTTAAACTCAGTCTGAAATGCGGTATTTTTAAAATGAATTAGGACTGGGATTTCCGTAACATTAGAATTGCGGATAAAGAACGTTTAAATGCCTACGTTGGCATTTGCAAATCCGCCCTAGTGTTTAGATCTAAAATGTAATTCAAAACAGAAAAAAATATATATCTTCAAGATCGATGAAACATTTCTTTGACATGACATGTACACTATCGTGATCGTGCAATGGATAGCCCTTTTCAAGATGGCGGACCAACGTAACACCGGAAGGTAAGCTCTCCTTTCAAACGATAATATCCATAATTTATATACTCACTTTGATCATGACACATATTGTATCTTATTCGCAAATAGTGCTAATATTGTTGTACGTATCTATCTGGATGATGATAAACTTAAAATGTAATGCGATCTGCTTATCAACCTCATCAACATTGATCAAGATTGTCATACGATTAGAGGCTTATCAAATCTTCAGTTTGAAATTAAAACTCTGACTAAATCTATTAAATTGCTTTAGCTGGGACTGATAGTTGAGCTCACACCTGCTTGGATCCAACAAATCGGCATGTTGACAAAGTCTACACGCAGATCGCATTACATTTTAAGTCTATCATCATCCAAATAGATACGTACAACAATATTAGCACTATTTGCGAATAAGATACAATATGTGTCATGATCATAGTGAGTATATAAATTATGGATATTACCGTTTGAGAGGAGAGCTTACCTTCCGGTGTTACGTTGGTCCGCCATCTTGAAAAGTCCTATCTATCGCACGACC